TGTTTCAGTTTTGTCTACTGCACAGTGCAAAGGGCACAATACTATCTGACCAAGCAAAGCCAGAGGGACACCCACCCCCTATATATATATTTATATATATATACACATATACACAATACATGTATATACATTTATGAGCTTGCACAGCACTTTTCTGTCAGGACATGTTCAGTCTCTCAACCAGTTTTACTCCAGTCCTTCACAAGTCCCTTTGATTACCTCGGCAGAATATCCAAGCAAAGACCATCTCTGTACCTGACACCTTGGTCTAGCTGCCCTTTGGCTCTGAAGAAAAGCATTTCTATCGCCACTTGTCTGGTTTTATAGGCTTTATGCAGCTGCTTTCCGAAATGAATTAATATTGCTGTTTTCCAGTTTAGGGTCCTAAAGCAGCCATCGGCATGGTGCTGTGCTGGTCGTTACTGCCTCTCCTTGAAGAAATAGCCTCCTTTTGACAAAATATTTCAGGAACAACAATTAAACTAATTACTGAACCCTGTTTCCCAAAATCACTGAGGTCTTTCCATCCCAACACATGCATGCGCACGAGCCCCAGCTCTCTGGTTTTTTTCATGCTTTTCCAGCTGAGCGAAATTCAGCAAGTGGCCAGTGGACAGAATATAGTTGATTGCAGAAAGGCTGAATCATGCTTTATTTTCCTACCTAGGCAGAGTAATTTGAGCATGATCACACTTACTTAGCTCTTCCTTTACTGTTTGCAGTTGTTTAGATGTAACTGGCCCATGGGTTGAAAAGTTGGCAGAGCAGGAAAGACAAACTCTTCTCCATAAAAACCCGCTACACTAAAAGCATTCCAGAGGTGACTTCCCCCCGCCCATGTTCTTAGAGCTCACTTCAGGCCTGGTGAATTATTCCTGAGGACAAGTTCAAGCTCCCATTACAGCCCTAGTTCCTTGCAGGGTACAGTTCAGGTCATAATTCATGGTTGTTAGCCAAACTGCTTCCCCATCAGCTCTGCCTCCCTCAGCTGCTTTTAGCACACAAGAGCCAGAAGAGGCTCCAGTTGCAGAGTGAGTTTTGTATGCTTACAGGCTCAACCCCTCTTCTCTTTCTCAATAGGGAAGTGGAAGTCACAAGGTTGGTATCATGGATTCCTTCCATGGAGCATAAAGCAGTTTCTGTGAAGCCAAGCACACCGGAATGCCTTAGGAGGTAGGGTGAGCGCTCCATTTTGGGAATAGCACTGCTTTGAGTTCCTGCAATAATACATTCCCTTCATGGGTGAGAAAAATACTTAATACCTATTCTGTCCTAAGCATGAAGTTTAAAGCACTGCACCCTGCAGGTGTCTTTCCTCCTAGTTAATCTCATTAAATCTCTTGTATTGTATTCTCACCTTTGCAGGCTCGTTTTTTTCATGCACGCTCTTTGCAGCTTTCACTCTTACAAGTTTATTTTTAAACATACTGGTTTCTTATCATCATCTGCAGCTGAAGCTTTCTGCAAACTCAGTTACTGTGAAGCTGCTCCTGCAGAGCCCTTGAAACCAAGACTCTTGAAAACCCTAAGCTTACTGGGATGAACGGGAAAGCAGCTAGCTACCAGTTTTCATCCCAAAATACCTTCCACTAACTGGGAGGAACGTCAAACAACAGATCTTCTAATTTCTAAGAAACAGCTTGCTTAGTGCTATCCATGCTTGCTTCAATTATAATCTATAATTGACATATTACACAGCCTTGCATTACAACATATATAACTTATGTGATTTGTTGTTTGTCTAAGAAGGGGGTGTTCTACTTTGATTACTGAATTCCAATACACAGCCCACATAGGACTCCTAAATGCTAACTTCTTCCATTTAGGTAGGTCACAAGGCAGGTTGCAAAGGTAAGGAAAAAAAAAAAAGGTGCCTTAAGATATCAGATCTATTACGGACAATGGTGCTTTTCAATACTAAAGACTCCCCGCCCATTTAGATCATTTGTAGTAAATACTTGAAGCAATTCAATAAACAAAATGTTTCCACGCTCGCCAAAGCTGTGCTAAACTAAACAAGCATTTTTCCTGCTTGTTTTGGAACTATCATTTCAACCTGCAAACGTCTATGAACTGGATTTTTATTCCTACCTGGTGTCCAGCCTTTCTGTAAGTCATCATCTGTCAGACAAGTGAAAACTGGTGCACTGCAGGTAGTTTTAGGCTGTTACTGGTAACATGAGACCATTTACATGAGGATTCCAAGTGCTTCTGAATGCCCTCTCTCCTTTTAAAGTGACTTTATTACTGCGTAAGTTGCTTACAGTTACGATCAATAATTATCTTTGTATTCTTTCTTTCCCATCATAGCCAAAGAACTTACTTGGATGTTGTGTGTCACAAATCACAAATACAACCAATCCCTGGTTTTCCAGGTAAATGAGAACTGTTTCACAGGTTACAGACATTATCTTCTGATGCCACTCACACTAGCACCACTTAATTCTGGTTTCCAGAAGAACAGCTCCACGAGTAAAGAACAATTTTAATTAAAGGTGGACACTCAATATTTGTTTCTCCCTCCTCAGAATTTTTTAACCTTTGTTTCAAGTTATTAATGGCTGAGATGTCAATACTCTAAAATTAGAAGAAGATAAAATTTCAGTTTGGTGCCAGGTTAGATGCTGTGGGCTCTAATCCTGAAATAATGATGCAAAATGTAATTGAGTCACGTCTGATGTATTGGGTTCCACATTACAACTCTCAAAACCAATCAGTCATCTCCTTTAATTACTAAATAATCTTCTCTTTACCATCAACCATATTAAGAATTGCTTTTCCAAAAGAAAAATGTATTTATACAGTATCAAACCAAACATATTGTGAAGTCCTGATACAGCTATATTAAACCCACAACCTTTAAGAGTACGTTATCATATTGAAAAATATTCCCCCAGTCTAGTCAGTGAAAACATTCCCCATAAATGCGCACAAAAGCACCTTGTACCATGCTGCTTTTGTTATCAGGCAATGGAGTCCCAAGTCAGTTTGTTTTGCTTCAAACTGCTAATTGCAAGCTGTTAGTTTGCAATTCCCTGTATTGTTCCAATAAAAATTTCAGTCCAGGAATAGGAATCCCAAAATAAACCCACACTGGCACAAATATACTAATAACCATAAACACAAATAAAAGGTCCTCCATTAATAAGCTACTGAATGGTTGCAAGTGCACTTTAAATGAAGGCGAACAAATTACTGAAGTGTTCTAAAAAATTATTTTCAGTCCATTACATCTTGTTGCTGCTGAGCTAAACACAAACATTTTGAAATCAAGTGATCTGGTAGGTTTAAAGATGACAAAATATTTCAGTTTTGAATTTGGCAGTCCAGATGGAGGAGTTCAGAGTTATAATGAGAATACTTCTATTGAGACTTGACTTCAATAAAAGGTAGTAACAGCATAATCAGAATTTTATCTTCTTTTTAACAAGGCAAGTACCAGCAACTGAGTTATTTGGCCACATGACGTAAGTGGAGCTGTTTGCAAGAACGAAACAAAGTCCAAATTTTACAGCTCAATGTGAACCTTTCCAATTTAAACACTGCTAAAAGCATAAACCCATTTTACAGGGCACCATTTGGGCCTGCTGTTAAGTTTTCCTCATTAGTTTTATCAAAGCACCATTCTGAGATTTACAATTAAGATGTTCAAGAAAGCTGTTACAGTAATGAAGGACACAGAGTCCCAGTTTAAAAGGAGAAACACAGAGGCAAGTATTGTGTCAAAGATGCATCTTCAGAAAAGTCTGCCTTCATCCTCCAAGTAGCTTGTGATCTTAAGTGTAATGAGAATGAAGTGCATGTATTCATCCTGAAACTGGTTACACCTGAATGACACTAATGGGTTTCTGAAAAATTAAGTCAACAGGCATTAGCTGTATAACATTTTTATTTTACTATATTGACATTTTATGCACAAATATTTTATCAGAGTAAAAATAGAAAATAATTGTTTCATGTAAAATTACCAAAAAAATGCAAAACACAAAAGAAATACATAATTATTAGCAGAGTATAAGTGTCTTTATTTAAAGAGTAAAAATTATGCAAAACCCCTTGTTTTACAAAAAATTGGGAATATTCTTTCTATGTTTTCCTTCTGGCAGCAACAGAACCACCTTTAACAATATATTCTACATCTTTTATTTTATTGAAGACATCAAGTTAGTCACAGATTTCTCCCTTGGCTACAGAGAATGTGACAGTGATTTTATGTCATTTGAAAGATTCTTTCTTTGCTAATTAGAACACAGTGGAAAAGGAGGTGATCCAACAATGAAGAACCCAAAGAACTCTCACACCTACTGAAAAGCTGCAAAATAATCAGGTGTATTTACAAAGAAAATGTGATATACCAGATGTTTTCCCTTAGAGGGCTTACCATGTAACAAGACTATTCAGGGGAATAAAGTATTGATACCAGATTTCAATTTGATCCAGAAAGCTGATATTTTAAGCTTCTCTTATTTTTATACTTATTTTAACTAAAAAGGCTGTCCATGAACTCTGCTAAACAAAACTAGTGACTTGTATCAAACTTGTAACAGAGCAGTGTTATACACATCATTGCTGCCACTGAACTACTGGCTTAATCTTAAATCTTCAATTTAAGTGAACCTGCATCTACTTGCGTAAGTCAAACACTTGCCAACTGGTGGAATCAGGCTACTGTAACTGTAATGAATGGATTGATGGCTGACTTCTTGTGACAGATGCATTTATCATTTTGCTCAGGGTTTAAGGTTTTTTTCAAATACAAAATTAACCCAGCATACTCTGTAGGTGAAGTGCTTTAAGAGCTCAAGAACGAAAACTATATCAAGAGTTAGTGAAAGAACCTGGAAAAAAAAAATATTCAGAATCATGGTGGTGATGATAAAAGTAGGGCAGAACTACACACAAGATTTCTTGTTAAACAAAAACTATCTGCAGATGAACATCCACCTATAAACAAACTTTTGTCCTCAATGCATCTTTAAAATACACAAGACTTCTGTGTACTTTGACCTCTGCCTGCAAGCATGACCAGTCCTTTCCAGATCAAGAGCAACAGTCCAGTGCTCTCACTACTCAGTATAAACACATTTTGTTTAGAACCAAACTGTACAAGCACTTTTGATATAAGGTTTAAGAGTAGCTTGATCCCTCACAGAATTAAAAGGTTTCCTTTATACATTTGCATTTTAATTGTTACCAGAGGGGGTTTACTTACAGAAAGTTGGAAAAAATGCATTGGCGACATAATACATAATATAGTATGTTTAACAACATGAAGAGGCAAAAACCAAACCTAAAATCACATCATTTTCAGCCACCAAAAGAAACAGTCTGACAGGCATCAGTACAGAAGCTCAAAAGCTGCAGCCTACTTTTTACTGCATGTGAAAGTTTGCACAAAGTACTCTCCGTAGTGCAGAATTCAGGATACATTCCAACTATTTCTATTCATCATCCAGACTTCAAATTCCACCCAGCTCTGAAGCATGCATTTGGCTTGTGAAGCTTCCAAAAACACCACTTGAAGTTCAGAAAGAAACTGATGTTAAATAAAACACACACCTTTCTATTTCAATGTATGTCAGACTGTACAATAATTTGGAAATCAAACTTTAGTTCTTTGTAAAACTATTTCCAACTTGCGTTTTGTTTCTAAACAGGGACTACTGACTGTGATTAACGAAGTCTTCAGTTACTACGGTTGACTACCGAGCAGGTATAAGCACCTTGCAGACCAGAGCATTTACTGCCCCCCCCAACCAAACTACTCTTTGGGTGAGGGCAACTTTCTCAAGTTTTCAAATCACTTGATGGGGGTGGCAGTGGGGAAGAAGTTTGTCTTCACTTTTTGCTAAATGGCTAGCCTTAACAGTGTTTTTCAAAACAGGGAAGTAGTTGCCCTCATATATGCATGTTATCTACATATTACAATGAAATACTCACAATTGGCTTTTCACCTAAGCCAGATCTAAACCTGGATCTCCTTCTTCAGTACTGATCTCCAGTTCTGTCTACTCTTAGTTTCCCTTGCTTATAAACACAGAAGATATTTTAAGAACCCGATGCTTTGTAACATTTAATGAGCCTTTTGGTTCTGCTTGATTAAATGCAAATAATGAACATGTTTAACTTTGAAAGTATCGAACGTCATTTGGTAGTTTAGCAGAGAACAAAAGACTGGAAAGGACTGAGTTAACGCAACTGATCAGCCTGCTGTCTGCAGGTACTCCATTTTTGTAAAAAGTGCTGCAAGAATTACTTTGTACAGCTGTGGACAGAGCGCTGACTAGTTCAACCTTCCTCACCCATTTCAGCTGGCATACCATAGAGGCCCTGGCATAAAGCTGCAGAAGCTGTGGTGATCCCTTAACTTATATTGAAATATATGCTGTTAAAGGATCCAAATTTATGCAAGTCCCACTTCTTTATAGAAAATCATGCTCTATTTTTTTGTACTGCCAAGAAACAAAAGTAGTTTCTAATTCTGACAAAGATAAGAGCAGCACCTGCTCTGGTTATACAGGAAAGGCCTCAGGTTTCCACTTTTTAGTTCCTAGTGCTTAATTGTCTTTCTCTGTTTGCAGGGATGCTGTAGCTAGTGCCACCGCTGTAACTGGCTGTGCAATGCCATGGAGCTGCATCTTGGCGAGTTTCTTCTGCTCACATTCCGTGACCAAGCGATTCAACTCCCCTGCGCTGTATCCAATAAGAGTTTTCAAGTCACAGACGAATTTGTACACAAACCTCTTGCCTTGCACTTTGCAGATCATGTCTCCATCATAGTAATACCTGCAATAAATAAATAATAAAATCAATGCATATTTTCAACATCTGTAACTTCCATACACATTGCCTAGTTACTTAGGGTCACACAGAAGTCAAGATATGAAACTTATTAAGATTATCATATAATTTCGTGCACCAAGGTACTATTTAGGCATTTTCTTGCAACTTGACACATTAAAGAGAAACAAAACATAGTAATTATTCTATAGGTAGTCTGGAAGCAACAGAAATGAAGGCCTTAGAGCAGTTTAAAAACAGACTGGGGGGAGAACAAGTTTTATTTAGTGTTTGCCTTAATAACAAAACGTCGTCTCCCCCCCTCTCATTAGTCCTTTGCTTTCTTTATTCTTGTCTTTGCTTTTCTGAAGAAAAAATCCATAATGGAAACAGTCTGACAATTAGCACTGTAGTACCTATGATACTGAAGCAGCTGTTCTCTCCCTACTGTTTTCAGTGATGGAAGTAAAACTATAAAAACATGTTTATTTGTTCGTTTATAGCTCATATACTGGCAAAACTACATCCTTCATCTTTATTTACAACTAAAAGTAACTTCTCTAACTATGAATACTCTTTACATTGTGCCACAAAAGAATCATCAGACTAGGCAGAAATGAAGAAAAGACAACAGTCTGTATGACCCACTGCATTCCAGAGACACTATAAAACTTTAGGTGATACCAATAAGACAGAAGTTCAAATTTTACAGTTTTGTTATTGTTCTCCTCTCACTGCAGGCAGTAATAGAATGCATGTCACGTATCTCATTAAGAAAACCTAAGTGCCTGGCACATTACTTGGACTTGATGAGCTTAACAAGCTTGTGATAAATTTGGAAAAAATCAAAACCAACCAATAACCCCCCCCCAAGACATATATCCCCCCCCCAATTTAATGTCCTCAAAACCATCACCCAAATGTAGTACAAATCAACCCAGATTTCTTGACTGTCTAAACTCAGTCCCCTGAATGCCATGTTTGTAAAGCGAAGATGGTCATTCACCAGCAAAATAACTCAATTAAAAGACTAACTTCTGTCTCCCAGCTCTAGTGGAAAAGGTAGGTTACTAAAGAATCCAACCAAATTTCCTCAGATACCTCAAATTCTGAAAAAAAAAAAAAAAAAGCCAGAAAAAAAAAAGCCAGAAAAAAAAAAAGCCTTTCAGCTTCTTACTTTTGGGGGTCAGGATCCAAGCAACAGGACCAAAGCAAAGACAGGATGAGAGAGGCTATATAGAAAAAACCACTGAGAAGCCTGCTGGTTGCTGATGTCATGCAAGAAGCCACACAGGTCTGTTACAGAGTACAAGAACGGTCAAATCAGCTCTGCTATTGCTCTGCAGGTAAAGTTTAGCCTGTCTGCCAAAGCTCACCTTCACCTTTCTCCTAAATGACATACAGTTATGTAAGAGCTTCCTCTTCGGTCCTCCTCCTCATTCCACCTCCCCCAAGCTACCACCTGTGCCTCCCTCAACTCCTCTCTGTTCTCTTCTCCACATCATTATGTTTGCTCTTAACTGCTACTGCACTCCCACTCAGCACTTCTTCACACCAGCCCCAGCCTCCAAAGCACCCTCTTCGTACCACCTGAAGGACCTATTGTTGTATGGTGTCCACCACATCCAGCCTCCTAGCAAGACAATGAGGATTAGTTGTAATGGTTAGATGAACCCTGCAACCTCAAGGGTGGGAGGATGACTTATGCTCGGTTTTGAAGTACAGTCCTGCAGTACTGTGCAGAACTGAGGAAGGATGTGTCCCTGGTGTGTGAAATACAGTACAGCTTAGAGCATGGGAACACTGGGCAGGCATTCATGTTCAGTATCATAGGTACTGGGCACCAAGAAATCGGGGAACTGGGAACTGTACTCACCCATGTCAATACAAAGAAAAGCAGAGTTTGCAAAATGTGGCCACGGCACATTTGCACATATGCCAAGTGCCACTGGACAATTTTAAGCTATTTGACGCTGTACAAACATTCACATTTACATTGTACTCTAACACCTGTGCCAAAATAGTACTGTAGAAGAAATGCTTTACATAATTGAATAAATGTCTTTAAATGATCAAGTCTGCATTACTGATATGACCAGAAACAAAAAGGACAAGAAATTAGTCTGCCCAAAACCATGCAAGATTCCCACATCTTGTGCTAGAAACATTCAGGCTAAAGTTGAGGCAATGTAGGCGGAGCAATTTTTCAATATTAATTTGAATGGATTTCTGATTACAGCATTTGCTCATTCAGAAGTACAGAAAGAATAAATACCCATGTTTACAAAACCTTAGTTACTGGAATATTCTGAGTCACATGAAAACTTTGTTTCAGAGTAATACAGGAGACAAAGTATTTTTCTTCAAGTCTCACTTTCCTCTGGGTAACTAAAACAAATGGTGATTTTAGAAAATTTACCAAGGTGTATGTAACAAAAAGAGCTTCTCTTCCATTTTCTTACCCTGCTCAGGTTTCCATACTGCCTGGTTTTCCTACAGCTGAGCAGAAGAGCTAGCAAATTTCTCAATAGTATCAACATCATTTTCTGTATTAATCAACAACTGACACAGTAATTTCAGTACATTAGTAAACTAAATATATTAACATTTAAGAAAACTTTAGCTTGGCAACAATGTTTATCATGTGAGTAGCAAGAGACGTTAAATATCCCTTCAGACATTCAAGCGTTAAGAGAACACGTCAATACTGATGCAGCTGCCAAAATGGAAACATTCTGAGGAATGATTTCTGTAATTCTGTGACTAAAATATAAATGCAAAACTTCTCCAATAGTGATTTATGCAAATTACTGTGCAGACACATCTGGTTAATATCCCAGTGATAACATTATTCTGAAGTTCTTTAGCTGCCTTTGAGATCTTCTGCATAGTTTATTGACACCCCCCCCCCCCAATTAGCATAATTCTATCGATGCTCTTCCTTGCTCTCAGTGATCTGGGGCTCAGGAACTCATGGAAGTTGCATCTTTCTTTTATTAATTTGTCCACTTACCTCTCAAACTCATAAAATAATATGGGCATCCACAATACTTTGTCTAAAGAAGTTAGAAAACAAACAAAAGGATGTAATTTAGTTGTGTAGTTGGTGCCTGCCAGTTTCTTCTGATGCCTCCTGTTCATGTATGGGCAGTGGTTCTTTACTGATTCTACGCCATTCATGGTTTTCCAGACTTGGGTCCTCCCCAGTGGAAGTACTCATTCACCCTTGTACATAATGATTTTACTTAAAACCTTCCTAAAAGCCTAAAGGAAGCCAGATTATGGTAACTTTACCACAATTTCTCACACAGGTAGTTTTAAATAGAAGTTGGTTTTTTTTTTAACAGTGCTAGATGAGTATACTTCCTTTAAAAAAAAAAAAAAAAAGTGGCCAAATGTGAAAATGCTGAACAGTAAATCTTAGATCTCAGACTAACTTCACTCATATAAAAAGAGCTCCTAAATCTGCTTAAGTAACTTGCAGGATTAGGCAATACATATCTTTCTTTAAAAATAAGTCAGTAATTCTGAGTATTAACGTATCTTCTTCTTTAAGAAAAAAAACAAACCAAAACCCAACAGAAAAACCCAAGAACTTGAACAAATACCTCACCCCTAAGACTAGTACAATCTGATGGGAAGGAGTAGATTCAGAGGATCTGAGAGGATCTGTTTATGCCCTTATTAAAAAAGCTGCAAGTCTTGCATTATGATAGTTAAAATTGCAAAGTGGAAGCAGATCACTTCATACCTGAGCAGTTCCTAAAGTTTCTTACCTCAAAGCTCGACTAAGCTTCTCATAGTTCATAGTGGGTTTGTTTTTGCGCTGTCCCCATTTTTGTGCAACCAGTTCTGGTTGATTCAGTTTAAACTCTCCTTCATCACCAACCCAAGAAATACAGTCCCGAGCATCTTTGTCAGTGAGAAGTTCTAACAAAAACTGCCACAACTGGATCTGGCCATTGTTTCCTGTTGAAATGGGAATAACAAGATCCATTTAAATTAGTCCTTTTTATAGTCCCTTCATATCTAAAATTTTCAACCAACATATTAAAGCAGACCAGCATAGACTATATGATGGAAAAAATACTTGCACTTAGTTAATTTCTTCTAATTATTCTCTTGTAAAAATTTTCTTGCAAAGTCATCAGAATGAATCTATTAAAAAGAAACTGAGGAATACAGAAAAAATAAAGACATAAAGATTTCCCACAAATCTGCTCCTAGGACATCAGGAAAAAAAAACACATTATGTAACACTAAACACGGTCATTTAGACATATATCTGTCCCTAAAACAAAACAGGTGCACAGCTGCTTGTTCCTCTTCAGGCACTCACATACACATACAGAATAAAAGTTGCTTTTTGAAAAACAGTTTAGTCTCCAATTTCCCCACTAATGTCAGCTGATAAAATCTTGGCCTAAGAATCCTAAATGACATCAGAACAGGCTTTTATGTAGAGTTTAAAAGAAACAAAAATTCAAGGGCAAGGAGAGGATTTAACAGAAAAATTCAGAACTGTGGAGAGAACCAAAGCAAAATTGTCCATAGGAAGGCCATGAAGATGCTCAGAGAGCTGGAGCACCTTTCCTATGAAGACAGGCTGAGAGAGCTGGGCTTGTGCAGCCTGGAGAAGAGAAGACTCAGGGGAGATACTAGAGCAGCTTCCAGTGCCTAGAGGGAGCTGGAGAAGGACTTTTTACAAGGACATGCAGTGACAGCACAAAGTTAAACTGAAAGACAGCAGATTTAGATATTAAAAATAAGTTATTTACTATGAGGGTGGTGAGGCACTAGAACAGGCTGCCCAGAGAAGTTGTGGCTGTCCTATCTCTGGCAGTGTTTAAGGCCAGGTTGGATGGGACTTTGAGCAACCTGGTCTAGCGGAAGGTGTCCATGCCCATGGCAGGGGGATTGGAAACACATGATCTTTAATGTTCCTTCCAACCTATTCTGTGATTCTATGAAAATTACAGCAAGAAAAAAATAAGATAAAGAAATTGAGTTATCAATAATCAAAGAGAAATATGTACGAATAACAGTAATTCAAAAAATAAACTGAGATTCAGTGTGTAGTTTTCCTGAAGATACATTCATTTAACAAAACAAGAAATCTGAAACTTGTTAAATTCTAAAGTCACTAAAGGAGCGGTGTAGAAACAAGTATAGGCTAGGATTCCATAACATGTAGCTTATTTTCTCCCCTTTCTGCAAATGGAAAGTGGAAAGAAGTTAAGAGCTTGAATAAATGCTATGCAGTGGTTTTAGAGGACAGTTAAGTTATAGAAACAATCTTAGGCATTTTATTTGCTGCAGGACTCAAAAGCTGCAGCACCACACAGTGCCTCCATGAGGTAACCAACCTTCCAGGCCTGCAAGTGCTGGTGATACATTTTGTAGTTCCAGTCCTCTTCATACCACATGGACTTCTACAAACATCACATTTAGAATGACAAAGATGTGTTCTACAAAACTGTAATTCAAATTAATGAGTGTTTACTGCACTTGCATTTAAAAATAATGGAGACAATACCTGTTCTGTTCCCAGGGGAACTTCTGTCTTCCCCAGAGATCCTTGGAGCTCTCTGTACTTTAGCTGCCTTTGCACTGCTGTTTATTACTTTAATGGTGGTTGGGGTAGCAGGCTGTACAGATGCTGGAATAATCTGCACAGCTGTAAAGCAGAGAACATTGCAGAACATCAATTGTAAATTGCTGGCACATAAACAGACATATATTATTTATTATCTGCGTTATCATATCATCTAGGAGCTATTTTTTTCCTCTGCTAAAAAGATACACTGTGTAAGTCACACTGCTAAGAATACAGATTTTTTACCTTTTACAGTGGAAACTGTTTTAGACTCATAGTAGAGATGCCACAATACAGATGAAACATCAGCTTTAATTTACTATCATATGTATTATATGTTTCCATAAAAAAAAACCCCAACAAAACAGACCCTCTCATGCCTTTGTTTTCATCTTTATGTTGTTCCCTGTATGGTCTACTCTAATGCATTTTTCTCAGTGGTCACTGTACAGCCCTATATACCTCCTGTTCCAAATAGCAATTAAACACCCTTCTACTGCAACGGTGTAAGAAGATGCAAATGCTCCACTGTAGGTTGCTTTAACTAGACACAAACCCAGGATGTAATGCATAGTCTATTTAAGCTGCTTAGAAGTATGCTGAAAATTGATTAATTTCAATAATTGATGACACTGCTTCAGCTGGAAGAATGAGTGCAGATAACTGCAAAGTTACTTTAATATATATTTTTCTAATACTGGTTTCTAAGCAAGTCCTCTTTTCCACATCTCCTTTCAGTTTTTAGGAGCACTTTCTTTTGAAATAATATTTTAATACATCCATTCATTAATCCAATATATCATAGAATCACAGAATAGTTAGGGTTGGAAAAGACCTTAAGATCATCTAGGCTGGAACTAGAGGGGGATTCCAACCCTCCTGCTATGGGCAGGGACACTACACACTAGACCATGTCACCCAAAACTCTGTCCACCCTGGCCTTGAACACTGACAGGGATGGAGCATTCATCACTTCTTTGGGCAATCTGTTCCAGTGCCCCACCACGCTCACAGTAAAGAACTTTCTTGTATCTAAGCCAAACTTCCCCTGATTAAGTTTGAACCTGTAAACATATAATATAAAATATAACCTAAAAAAACAGAACTACTCAAGACCTCAATTATGTATCCTAGACTGTTTATTTTAAGAGAGTGGAAAACTGACCATCCAAAAGTAAAAGCTGAAAACTCTCATAGTTCAGGTCATACAGCACCTTTCTGACAGTAACAAGATACCAAGAAACCCAAAATTTTGCTCTGAAGTTTAAAATACGCCCTCCTCCCCTCACCAAGTAATGTGCCACCCCTTTCCCCTCTCTCTTTTTTAAGATTAAATTAAGAGAGTGATTTTTTAAATGTTGCACTATTATAGTGCTGAACCAAAGTGCTAAACCTGCAAACAGTTAACTGTGCAAATTAACTGCTAACACAAGTACTTACGCTGATCAATAGTAACAGTTGCTATTTCTCCGGAGTGTTCTTGGCTAGCCAACACATCTACAAATTAAGAAAAAAAACCTCAAGTTTTTATTTAACCACAAATTGCAAATCACCTGAAGAACAAGAACTTTCAGATTTCATATTAGAAAAATTCAAAATTTGGTATCAGTTCAAAGAGACACGCATAACTCATGGTCTAATGAGCAGAGACATTTAATTGTCTGCCATTCAATTTTTAGAAATAAGGACGTACATGGTGAATTTCAAGGTACTTATGCATTCTCCATCGCCTAAAAGCCTTAGCTAATTCATGCAAATGAAAGTGAAAATAGTTTTTAGTCTGCCAAGTTACATTCAAGCATGGTAAACCTGAAATGAACATATGCATTACTGCATTATGAATATAAACACATCACTTTATCAGTTGTGTACTAAGGATTTCACTGCCTATGCTTAACAATCCTCACTTCTATATGACTCAGAGATGTATATTAAATAACTCACAATAAATACTTAATTACAAAACTATCAAATTTGGGAGATGCATAAACTAAGAACCTTTATTAAAAACAAAGGAGGAATTACCAGTCATTATTTCCTATTAGATAAGAAGTTTAATAAAAGATGGGCAAAAAGTGTTTAGTATGCAGACATGTTTTATAACAGCAGACACTTTCAATACCTCTTGTCATCCTGTATTGATACCCTCATTTTTACTGCCAATATTAGAATCATATAATAGTTATGGTTGGAAAGGACCTTATGATCATCAAGTTCCAACCCCCCTGCCATGGGCAGGGACACCTCACACTAAACCATCTCACCCAGGGCTCTGTCCAACCTGGCCTTGAACACTGACAGGGATGAAGCATTCACAACCTCCCTGGGCAACCCATTCCAGTGCCTCACCACCCTAGCAGGAAAGAATTTCCTCCTTAGATCCAATCTAAACTTCCCCTGTTTAAGTTTTAATCCATTACCCCTTGTCCTATCACTACAGTCCCTAATGAAGAGTCCCTCCTAGCATCCTTATAAGCCCCCTTCAGATACTGGAAGGCTGCTATGAGGTCTCCATGCAGCCTTCTCTTCTCCAGGCTGAACAGCCCCAACTTTCCCAGCCTGTCTTCATATAGGAGGTGCTCCAGTCCCCTGATCATCCTCGTGGCCCTCCTCTGGACTTGTTCCAACAGTTCCATGTCCTTTTTATGTTGAGGACACCAGAACTGCACACAATACTCCAAGTGAGGTCTCACGAGAACAAAGGGTCAGGATCACCTCCTTCGACCTGCTGGTCACACTCCTTTTGATGCAGCCCAGGATATAGTTGGCTTTCTGGGCTGCGACCGCACACTGAAGCCGGCTCATTTTCATTTTCTCATTGACCAACACCCCTAAGTCCTTCTCCACAGGGCTGCTCTGAATCTTTTCTCTGCCCAGCCTGTAGCTGTACCTGGGGTTGCTCCGGCCCAGGTGTAGGACCTTGAACTTAGCATAGTTAAACTTCATAAGGTTGGCATCAGCCTGTATTAAGTACAGGGAAAACAACTGCTCAAAATTCTATTCATCTTGAATGAAAGAAAGGAAGAATGAAAAGAAAAGGAAGAGGGGAGTAGGTAAAATCAGTTACAGAAAAATCCTTACATTTTCGAAGCAGCTCCAAATGGCTCCACAGGATCTCTCCCCGTGGGACACGCTGGAAGAAGTCTTCCTGACTGAGGCTACATAGCTCCCGCCCAGGAATGCTGAGTGCGTTGAGGTCAATGTCAGTCATACTGAACTCCTTCATCACCCACACCACCCAATGGAGCACCTGGTCTGTTGACCACTGCACAGGGTCTGGGAAAAGAGAGAAAAAATTGCAAATAATATTATATATTGCAAGATTCCTACTCGATTGCATAATAACTTCTGTAAAAGTAAATACAGAACATCAAGAAGCACACTGTCCTGGTTTAAGCCCAGCCAGTAACTCAGAACCACGCAGCTGCTCACTCACACCCCCTGCTCCCAGAGGAGAATCAAAAGAATGCAAATCCCATGGGTGGAAATAAGAGCGGTCCAGTAACTAAGGTATAACACAAACCCACTACTGGTACCACCAATAATAATAATGATAAGGGAAATAACAAGGGGAGAGAATATAAAACTAAAAGGGGAAAAGAAAATAAAACAATAAGCACAAGTGTTGCACAATACAATTGCTCACTACCTGCCGACTGATACCCAGCCTGAACTGAGCAGTGATCCAGGCATTCTGGGTAACTCCCCCCAGTTTACAGACTGGGCATGATGTGCTGAGGTATGGAATACTGCTCTGGCTAGTTTGGGTCAGGTGTCCTGTCTCTGCTTCCTCCCAGCTTTTTATGACCCTCCTCACTGGAAGAGAATGAGACTGAAAAGTCTTTGATTGGAGTAAGCATTACTTAGCAACAGCTAAAAACACTGGTGTGTTATCAGCACTGTTCTCAGCTGGCACTCAAAATCAGCCCGCAGGTAAAACCACTGGGTGGCCCATGGTGTGCACCTCCTGTATCTTCTCTCTCAGGCAACAGGGTACTTTCTGCTAATATCTGAGGTGCAGGTTGGTACAGGTGGGGAGCTGGACAGATCATCTCTCAGTTGTTTGAACTCCTGGGTCAGGAGTTTTCCCACAGCTGAAATGATGGAAGGGTTGGGACTGTCTTCAAACTCTCGGAGTTGACAACTCACTTCATCCACTGTTGCTGGTGCTGCCTCACTCCAGGTCATTGATGCCAGTAAGTGGGCATATGATGATGCTACACTCTGCGTAAATTTCCACCATGTGGGTCACGTACATTCAACTTCATGTGGATCTATGGATGCATTCCCAGCATCCGGCCTATGATAGATCATCTCTAGAATGGCTGATTCCCTCCAACGACTGGATGCCTTTCTCTATTGTGGTCCACTTGGCTGAGTGACACATAACACCATCCTTGTAAGTAAATCTTTCCTTCACAGCTGCCAAGAGCTGCCTCCAAAGGCTGAGTGCTTGTTTCTCTTCTGCAATTGTTTCATCAGTTCCCCCTTCCCTAGCAAGTGATCCCAGGTGCTTGGCTTCCCTACCTTCTAGTTCATGACTGTTGGCCCCACTGTCCCAGCATTGGAGCAATCAGGTGATGATGTGCTCACCTGGAAGATGGATGAAATTTTTTCGTATATTCCACAGCTTGGTCGAGGTCTGGGATTGAGAAGTTACCTCTTCCTCTTAACTCCTGTAGTAATTAGTGCTGTTCAGGTGCTGTCCCCTCTAGTACATGGATTGCTTCTTCATCTTTCTTCACTGCATGCTCTTTATGGCTCTTGTTTGCTTTTCCCCTTGCTCATAGGGCAAGTGATATTGGCATGGATTGGCCATTTGGTTCAGCTGTAGTGTCTGTCACTAGGGTTGGAGCAGCTGCAGTGTCTGTTGTCGGGGTTGGTGTAGCTGCTGTGCTTGTGGGTTGAGTAGCTGCGCTGTCTGTTGCTTTGTCATCAGATCCAGAGACATCTTTTTCCAGAGATGCTCTGGAGGCATAGGCCAAGCTGCAGCACGTTGCCATGATTTGTCCCTCTCTGGTATGGCAACACACCTCATTTAAGTGTTTTACTCTTTATTTTTCAGATTTCGCATTTGTTCAGGGGTGAAGTTCCAAAGCGCTGGAGGTGCCCACTGTGCCAGACAGTTGCCCACACTGTCCCACACATCCTGCCACTCATGACTATCCAGCCTCGGGGAAAATTTCTTGGTGGTCCTCATAGATCATCATTTAACTTTAGACAAGACCTGAGCCTGACTCTCCTTAATTTTTGAGATCAGATGAAATAGAGCATTCTCAAGGTGGTATGGCCATGGGTAAAACACATCCCCTACCATGCACCAGCCTCTGGGAAAATTGAATGGTACAATGAGCTGTTAAAAACTACAGAGAGCAATGGCTGGTGGGACTTTCAAACACTGGAATACACACTTACCAAAGGCCACCTGGTTGGTCAACACCAGAGGATCTGCCAACAAGGCTGGCCCAGCCCATTCAGAACTTTTACATACGCAGAGGGGGACAAAGTTCCTGTGGTGCACATAAACAATTTGCTGGGGAAGACAGTCTGGGTTATTCCTGTTTCAGGTAAAGGCAAACCCACTCGTGGGATTGCTTTCACTCAGGAAGCCTGACATCATGGACTGAATGAATTCAGAAAACTTTACAGGGATGGTCCATGGACATAAAAAGTCTGTTGTTTCAAGCAGAATTAGTATGAACAACCTTGAAAGAAGACGGGTAAGTCTAAACATTATCATCAGAACTTTGGTAATGTTGTATGCAATGGAAACTAAAGTAGGGATATCTAATTTAACCGTCTCAAGGGTAAAAACCAGAAGCAGAACAATTATGTACTTTTAAATTATGAGACACCAAATAGATGTCACCTTGACAAGTTTTCATGTTAATGTCGTGGTTTAACCCCAGACAAGACAGCTTGTGCACTCACTCCCCCCCCACTTCTTGCCCTCCCCCTACTCTCGGAGGGAAGGAGAGGAGAATCAAAAAGAATGCAACTCCCACGGGTTGAGATAAGAACAGTTTAGTAACTAAGGTATAACACAAATCACTACTGCTACCACCAATAATAGTAATGATAAAGGAAATAACAAGGGAAGAGAATACAACACCCCATCACCAGGCGACCGATAACTCGCCCCCCCAGCCCGACCAAGCACCGACCGATACCTCCTCCAACCCTGCAGTCCACCTAGCCCTTCCGGGTAACTCCCAGTTACATCCTGGGCATGACGTGCTGTGGTATGGAATACCTCTTTGGTCAGTTTGGGTCAGGTGTCCTGTCTCTGCTTCCTCCCGGCTCCCCTCCTCCCTGGCAGAGCATGAGGCTCACAAAGTCCTTGGCCAAACCAAAACATCATTGTTTTTCAGCTCTGTTCCCAGCTGAAAGTCAAAACACAGCACTGCACCAGCTACCAAGAAAGAGAAAAATGACTGCCACTGCTAAACCCAGGACATTATCCACCCCTTATTCCATACCATTCACGTCATGCTCAGATCCTACATTTTCAATATACCATCACTCTTATCTAAGTGCACTCTCATCGCAGTGCATGGACCAGTCCCTATAAAGCTGCTGAGTCCATCTGGTCCATGATGTCAGGCTCCACCTCTTGTAACAGTCTTTCAGAGCACGAGAGACTGTGCGCAGTGTTCACACCTGTGAATAACCTGGGCGATAGTGTCCATTGCTAAGTCCACCCCTCGATCATGAGTCCATCTCGATGTTGCATCTCTGCTCTGATGGCCTTAAGGGTCATGGGTCCACCAGGCTCAAAATAATTCACTGTCCCCTTCAGCAGTTTCTGCAACTTGTAGCTGGGGACTCCATACAGCTGCCTTCCATCTCCAATGCTTCCAAAGCACTGGAGGGGTCCAGTGGACTAGATACTTGCCCATACTGTCCCACATGCCCTGCCACTCATGGCTGTCCAGCCTTGGGGGAAACCTCTTGGTCCTCCCATATCGTCGCCTATCCCCAGACAAGACCCAAACCTGACTCTGCTTAACTTTTGAGATCAGACAAAATGGTGGTGGGTAAAATACACTCTGTGTGTGTGCCACAGAGCAAGCAGGTCCCAAGGATACCCAAAGGCCATCCAAAACCTTCAGAACTCTCAAACGATGCTGCTGTACTTGTCACTGGGGCTGGTGTAGCTGCTGTGCTTGCCGGCTCTCCCACCACCAGCTTCTCTTTTCCTGAGTCCAGCTCTTCCTCCTCTGCCTTGCTGGGAAATGCTGCGGGGTCTCCTGCATCCTCCTGGGGCTCGGCGGGCGGCTTCTGGGGAATGCTCTCGGCTGTCGCAGGGCTGAGCTCGGCCGCGGGGCTCGGCTCCTCCGCCACCTCCTCCCGCTGCTCGGCAGCCGCCTCCTTCCGCTCCTCGGCAGCCGCCTCCTTCCGCTCCTCGGCAGCCGCCTCCTTCCGCTCCTCGACCGCCCCGACCTCCTCCACCGGCAGCTGCTCCCTGCCGGCCTCCGGTCCTGCTCCCGCTTGGTGCCCGGGGCCGCTCTCCCGGGCTGCTTCAGCAGCCGCCAGCTCCCGGGGCCGCGCCCCCTTGGCTTCCCAGAGCCTCACGCAGACGGAGGCGAGGGCGAGGGCCAGAGCAGGGCAGGACAATTAAGAATTAAAGAAAGCAAAGTTTTCTCAGTCTACAAACATTACCTAGGAGCTACAAATTCCATTTTGCTTAATAAAACAGAGAAACATCGCATCATTTTTCACTGTTGCTACCTAAACCCATGCAATGGGAAAAGCCACAACAAAAGGGCTTTGGACTTTAAAATTCATCAGCAGTGAATTTTCATCAGAAAGCTGCTAATTTGTTCTTATTGACATAATCTGCAAGGTAATGTGAAACATTATTTTCTCTAACCAGTTCCATGGTTTCCAAGCTTTCTGCTGTTTCTTTTCCTGGCTTTATTTCTCATACGAATTAGTGTTTTCCTTCTTAGGGAACTCTGCAGTGGTACCAAATTTGGGGATTCTATTAGTAGAAACAGCTTTAACAGCTAAAAATCTGTGATCTTTAGTAAAACTCACCAAAACATAACACAATGGGAAAGGACATTTTCAAGACCTGCTAAACGCTAATTTTCTATTTGCAGCAAAACAGAGAAATCTGTGAGGATGCAAGGATGAAGATACTGAACCCATGCCCTCGTGGATGATGATTATTTACTGACTGGACTTGACTTTTAATTTCAACATAATCTGTCTTTTGGAAAGATTCAAGGAATAATTTCATATCAATAATTTCAGAGAACTTCACAGAACCAAGCCTCACAACTCTTTGAAGCAAACTGTCCTCTTTTTCTATGTTGGGGGAGAGGGAAGGCTTTTTGAGGGGACTATATAAGAACCTTAAGAATATTCAATCACAGAATCAACTAGGTTAGAAAAGACCTTTAAGATAATCAACTTTAACCTCTACCTCATAACTGCTAAGCCCACCACTAAACTATGTCACTAAAGGCCTTATCTACATGTTTTTTCAACGCTTCCAGGGACAGTAATTCCACCACTTGCCTGGGCAGCCTGTTCCGATGCCTGATCACCCCCTCAGTGAAGAAATTCTTCCTAATATCAAATCTAAACTCCCCCGGCGCAGCTCGAGGTTGTTACCTCTAGTAACATTCTTTATTCATTTCACGTTCTTTATTCTCAGAAACTTTCGACTGTACCAGAATGTAAAACATAGAGGTGTCTTATTTCAACCCAAGGCCCTGCAACATCAACTCAGGTAACACTGAAAGTTTTATTCTGGGAAGACAGTTTAGCACATTTTTCTGGTATCAAGAGAACACTATTATTAATAGAGATCTCTGCCACCATGAACTAGTATGATTTTCCTGGAAAATCTGTACTCCCATGACACAAAAAACATTAAACTTTTAAAGTCACAGTTGTGGGTTGTCACAGTTGTTCTTAAAGCAGCATTATTAAAGTTTATTAACAACATCATTCAACATAATAATAACATAGGTTTAAGTAATGCTCTTGTTATATTAATGGGAGGACAATGAAAGGTATTAGCTCCTGATAACACCTTGCCTTCCTCCTGCCTCCCCCAAACCATTCTGCATTAAACCCCTGACATTAAACCACAGACATAGCATGATGAAAACTATTTTGGAAGTGCTTGCTGCCAACAACAACCACCACCAAAAGGCATGAAAATGCCATTGTTTTAGTTATACATTTAAGATACTGACAAGCTACACATCCTGCAAAGACCTGTGACTTTACTGGAATCTTAAACACTTCCAAGTATTCCACTTGCTAGATACATTCCAGTTTTGCAGGTCTGCTTAGATACTACAGCTTTTTGTGGTTAACATGCCTTGACAGTACGTTTCTGCATGTCAGAACAAGCACCTCAGCTGGGTAATCTGAATGTGATGCAGGTCTAAAACTCAGTTTCAGTTCAATCCTAAACAGGCATTCACAAATGCTTTTTCTAAGCTAACATTAAATTGGCAGCCTGCTGCGTAAAAATATTAATTCCAAAGAGATGATAACCTACCAGGATACATATATTCAGTTCTGAAACACCTTTTTCCAGTACGCAGAAGTATGGCTTTCCATGTAACATCTGATTTAACACCATACTCTGCACTTTACAATCTATGAACAACTTGTTTCAGTGCTTTTAAAGTCAAACCCCACCAAGTACTGAGTCTACATTCAGACACATGAGAAAAAGAGCTTTACCACTAACATATATAATTTTAAGGAGGGGAGGAAGAAGAAAAATGCTTTCTAAAAACTGCAAAGAAAAGAAGCTTGTAGAGCATAAAGAACTATTTTAACAGAAATATCACAAGCATTGATTCTCTTTAGTCCTTTCTTATGCAGGTATTTGATTCATACCCGTATCATAAGAAGCTTCTGAGGTATTGGAGCTTTTTAGTTATATCACCAAAATTAGTTACTATTTATGAAAACAAACAAACAAACAAAAAACCCCACCCCAAAACAAAACCCCAAACAATCCCTCAGATGAACAAAAGAACCCAGACCCCTTTTAAATGCACACACGCAGTCATGTATTATTACCGTAGGGTATTCCAAGGCGCTCCTGCTCCTTGCGGTAGCCTTCCAATGCTGCAGCCCATCGTGTCACTTGTTCAGAGGTTTCGTCTGAAATTGTTGCAATATGTTTTGTTCCATCCAAGGTTATCACTTGAGCTTCCTCAACAAGGTGAGCTTCAGCCTCTCCATGATGAGCATCTGGATCAATCACTACCTCCACGGTCTCCACAGGCTTTACAATTTCAAGGATGTTTAATTTGGGCTCTAACCCTAGGTACAGAAAGAACAAACACAAAACTTAAAAGACAGCAAAGCAAATATAATTAAAAAGTTGTTTTAAAGCTTTCTGATTAACAGTGTTAGCACACTTCAGAAAGAAATGTGACACAAAAGCATCATCAATTTTCTGCAAGTGTCCTAAATTAGAATGACATATTCTATTATACAGTACATACTTTGGTAAATACAAAAAGGCCACTTTATAATACAAAGAATAGAAACTTGCCCCTTTTCCCTCCCCCAGTATTAGAGCTTCCTGATCTGTTTAGGTGATCCATTTCACAAATCTTGAACAGAATGTTCAGCATGTGGCATAAAGAACAAGTATTTTGACCTGTAAGAAATATACTGAACCAAAGAGGGAGGGTAGCAAAGCAAACCCCAAAAAATCCAGAATAAGCATCCACCTCTTTCCCCCAGTCAAGAGGCATTTCTTTCTGCCTTTACAATATTTCCCTGCTATCTCTGTAATCTCCACACAGGAGTTAGTATCTTCTTTCGGTACTCTGCAAGAGGCAATGTGTTCAACAGCAAGTTAAAAGAAAACTGTAAAGTTCTCCATGTTTTACGATATTTTTGTATGAAATGCTATAAAAGAACCACAATGGACTATACTTCAGCTGGTGTTTATTCCTTTGAATTTACAAGTAGCTAATCAAAATTTTATAAGTCGCTTAAGAGTCAGGTGTCACGGCCTGAATAACAATACAGAAGATCAACTTGAAGTTATACACAGGTACTTAATACTCAGGTGCTTTATTTTTTAAGGGGATGGGGAAGAAAGCAACTCCTGTGCTACATGATCATGCACCTCAGTTTTACATTCAAAAAGAAAGAAAAACAAACCAAACCTCAGGAAGGAAATAGAAGATAATAGTGAAGATATTTATCACCTGCATCCTTTTGAAACTGGAATGCTGAGCACTGCATGCTACAAGTTACTGGACATGAATTAAGAACAGACATTCTAGTTCCCTGAAGGGTATTTCTACTCTGTATTTCAAACCAGAAAGCTAGTCCAATCCCCATTACACATGGGGAACTGCAGATTCAACCTAGCACTAGTCACCTGACACTTAGCATTAAATACAAATCAGTTTTACTTAATACTGTTAATACAAACCAGAAAGACTTCCTTCTAATTACACTAAAGCCACAAGAAAACAGAATGTGCTCCCCAAATTTTGCTGATCTACGTTGATGACCTAACTGAAAACAGCGATCCTACTTCAGTAGGAACTTGTCACTGTTTTGTTTGACAATATGGCAACAAACATCTGTAGCTCCTCCCAGAGCACAACATGAATGTTGTCTTCAATGAGGGGTGGCACAATGGTTTACTCTTGACTTCTCATCTGAATTAAAAACAGATAATAGAGATCCCAGCCGTTCAAACAGATTTTGAGTTAACTACATATACTCTCAATGATCTAATCATTCACAAAGCACACAAGTTCACCTCACAAAGATGAAGCTGTCACCTACCTAGAAACAAAAAATCTTTTGCCTGCTTAGACACTCATTCTGGTATAAGTAACTACTGACTGTTAACGAAAGCCTCATACTGTAACTGTCGCTATCTGGCCCGGGTTTGCTTGAGTTTGGGGCCAGGGGCTGTTAGGTTCTTTATTTTTTTTAACTTAGAAATTGATATAATGTTACTATAAAAAAACATTTCAAATAGCATCAATCTATGACACTTATTTTAATTACTACTACTTATAACCACAGCACACAATGGAAGAGACTTTCTGAAGCTATGTGACCATTCAATGATATTCTCAATTTTACAGCTAGGAATAGCAGGGCATTCAGTTTACTCACAAGTATTCCCACAATATTAATTTGTCTGTACAACAGACAAACATAACAGCTTACCTTGCCTAGATATTACTTGCACGCTGAGTTGTACTGTTCCATCTGTTTTTACTCCTTGATCAAAAAGACTTCGATCTGGGTCCAGCTTGATGAAAGCAAAGCAAACATTACAAATACGTATTAGTCTCACAGTTACAAGGAACTTGCTCTCCTTTAAACTTCAGAAACACCTAGTGCCTGCAGCAAATTTTCCGAAGAAGCATGCACATATTTTTAGCACTACCTAGACAAACAATTTGATTGGAATTTGAAACTCGCCACTCTGTTTAAAGTAGTTTCACTTACAGGGACATTTAACCTAAAAAAAGGCAAAGCAATATCTGGAAGTACGTTCACTTTGTGAAAAGTATCCACAATTCCCACTGTCAGCTTTTAATGCTTTCATAAATATTTTTGTTTTTAAAGCAGTATTCTCCCTTCTTTCTGAAGAAGCCACAGATGTCTGATTATAATGACAAACAGAACATCCAGGTACGCATGATGCGAAACAGTTATACTGTCTAACGTGGTGATGCCTGTAAACATAGGGGGGCACTTCTTGAGTAATGTTTTGCTATCTATGCACCGTATAAAAACCTTCTTGCTTTATGCAGATTCAAAACAAGATTAGACTTGCAGAAGTTCAGGCAGCAACAAATTACGTGGGTGCCTTGGGTTCAGTTGTAAGTTTTTTTCTCCTTCTTAGTAGCTGGTGCAATGCAGTGGTTTCAACTTTAGTTTGAGAACAATGTTGATAACACACTAATGGTTTTGGCTGCTGTTAAGTAATGTTTACCCTGATCAGGGACTTTTCAGGCTCATGCTCTGCCAGTGAGGAGGGGCATGGGAAGCCAGGAGGAAGCAGACAGGACACCTGACCCAAACTAGCCAAAGGGGTATTCCATACCTCAGTGAGTCATACCCAGTTATATGGGCTGGGGGAGGAGTTACCCAGAAGACCCAGATCACTGCTCTGGTTGGTCTGGGTATCGGTTGGCAGGTGGTAAGCAATTGTATTGTGCCCCACTTGTGTTTATTGTTTTCTTTTCCTTTTCCCCTTTTAATTTCATGTTCTCTCCCCTTTTTTAGCCTGATCGTTATTATTATTGGTGGTAGCAGTAGCGGTTTGTGCTATACCTTAGTTACTGGACTGCTCTTACCTCAACCCATGCAATTTACATTCGATTCTTCTCCCCATCCTTCCAGGAGCAGAGGGGAGGGAAAAATGTGGGGGAGTGAGCAGGTGGCTGCATGGTTCAGAGTTACCGGCTGGCCTTAAACCACAACAGTGAGCTACCTCAAGAAAAGACAGTTGCCCTAGTTCTTCTTTCACCTCCAAGGTGGTAATTTTTTCCTTTCTTACCCCCACACCAGGAACCCCAGAAGTATTTTGATTTTATTCACACTGAATTAGTATGTACACATTAAATGGTCTGATAACAAACCTAACATAAGCTCTTAATTGTAATTATTATATCAAATAAAGCATGAATTCCGTGAACAATGGAAGGGACAAAGTATGCAAAATGCTTCTCCATTAAGAGGTTAAGTCTTTCATAGCCTTTCAGTTTACCTGGATATCTTGCAAGCAAATTTCATGTGTATCCAAGGAACACTGCAGTCTGGGTTCCAGCAACTTCCTAAGATTTCCAATTGGTTCATTGATGTCAATTGCTTGACTCACAAATTCTGCTGTGGTAAAGGTTTGCTCAACGATGCTTAAATACCAAATTAATACAACAAACAATTACTTACATGTTAATACAGCGGTATAGGAAAGCTTTATAAAAGTTAAGACGTGAACTACACAAAAGGTAATACTGGCTCTGAAATTTTAATACCATGCAGAAAAACTCGTAGCTTGAGTAGAGCATGAATTACTAAGTTTGATTCCATTGATTTTACAGCCATGCAACTTTCCTTTTACACTGTTACCATTAAAAAGTTAGGTTAAATACCGAGATTATTTTCAGATCACCATTTTCAAGAGACTGTCACAATCACTATATTAACTTGCACATAAACTGAGTTGATTTGCCTATACCACACTTAAAAGCTATTAAAGTAAAAAACAAACACAGAAACTTAAAAGATAAGAGGAAAAAGGAAGAAAACCCATCTGTTCTCATACAGAGTAATTGTCTATGCCTTTTCACCAGGCAGCATGAGGATTAAGCTTAATGCATACAAGAGACAACCAGAAATAACAGCAGCACCATGGAGCCTTGAATGAAACATTAGTCATGTGCCATGGTTGTCCTGCACTTAAAATAATGACAGCTTTTGCACAGGCATTCAGAAACATCGATGCTATATAACTCGTGCCTTAACCTTAGACATGTTGCTGGTCTTTCCAGATTTACACAGAAGGAAATCAGAAAGTATACACAATTAGTTCATATGTACTAAAAATTTACAAGGAGCTCAGAGTAGGAAGTATGTCGTTTTGAACCAGTTCTCCAAACCAGATTCTTAAAAAGCAGGTGACCTGCCAGCCTCAGCTATTTCTACCCAACACATTAACTTGCCTCTCTGTGCTCTGAAAAACAGTTGTAAAAATTATGAGGGGAGCATTAGGAAGAAAAAACCCAAAAAACAACAAACCCAAGAACAAGGTTGAGGTAATTAATTCAAAGGATATCTGACTTCAGAATCTACTGTTTCAAGGGCCCTAACAACAATATAGTCAACAGATACAGAATGTAATTTCTGCTCTGGTAAAAACAAATGACCCTGTGTAACAGTAAAGTAATGGACTGAGAGGTTCATCTCAATTACAGAAGGATACACTGAAGCTGAAAGTTTTGCAGCATGTACATGTAGACATATTCCTACACACATGAAAGCAGGGGAAGAGAACTACTAAGAATGTAGCAAGAGATAAACAAAACAGTTTGGGATTTAAGCAATTAAGATTGAAGAACACTGATAGCACTCTACTGGTTTCCAATAGTGGCTGCAGGTCCACTTCAAGAAAACCACCACTGGATAAGAAACAGAATAACTCAAATGTGCACAAGAAAAATTAAGAACTCTCTATTCAGCAAGAAAGTTGAAAAACTGAAAACAATCAACAGCAGGGTTACAGAGATCATACTGAGCCAGACACTTCTGCCAGTTTAAAGTTACTTCTTTTGCCTAGCTAGAAAACACTTGTACTTATTTCGTAACCATGGCCATCTCTGAAGCATTACACAATACCCAGTAATAAATCTGCATAACCATACTTAATGTGTGTAGCCATAAAACTGAAACCAATTAAAGAAAACAAATAATTGAATCAATTGCAGCCTAAGGACCCCCAAAAGCAAACACAGTACCTACCTTACTTCAGTGCATTCCTGTTTTTCAGTTCCATCTATTTCTATTTCTATCAGCTCTTCTGCTTCTCTCTTAGTCATGGCTAAAATGTCTTAAGAACAGAGCTGTGAACAGAAAAGAATTTTTTTGGTAAGTCATAGACCAACAAAACTAGATGATAAATTGTGTCCTAGCAAACATTTTTTAAACTAAACACTAAAAATGAATATGCAGTGTCAATGAGAATGTTCTCATTGACACTGCAGATTTTCATGCCCTGTAAAATACTGGAGTCTGTTAGAACATAAGGGGGAAAGAAAGAATTAAAACATTTGGTCTGTAAAGACATAGTTTGTATATTATTATGTTTCACTAACCATCCCATACATCATAAGTATGAAATACACATGATAATGAACTCATCCGAATTATATTAAAAGTTCACAATAAATAACACCACCAACTCACAGGAAAAGCAGTAGGACATAGGAGAACAGAGTAAAAAAAAAAATATCATCACAGCAGAAAAAGCAAAACATGTTACTATTTAAATACCCACAAAAGATTAGCAAGATTTCCACCCTGGAATCATTCCTTCCCAGGGACTACTCTATGACAAACCCAGCTGGTTCATAAGAGAGTTTATTAAACACAAGTTAGTAAAGGAACCTGAAAACTTCTCAAAAGGAACAGTGACCAACTACATTATACCACTGTTACATAAAAGGTTTAAAGAAATCCAAACCACTCATTATCTCCTTCAAGAACTATTATGTAAAATCGGTTTCAAATAAATCAAGTGTGGCCATGTGATATCAAGCCATAAGAAGCTACCATGGCTAGACAGAAGCTAAACAGCACTTCATTAATAACTTAACACTAGAAGCAGAACCTGAATTTGTTCTGCTCACAGATCTGACTGAAAATCCCCCAGCTGCTGGGTAGGACCCATTGAACTGACATGGTGGTGTACGCTGAAGAGGGCCCTGGGAGTCCAATTCCCAGACCACTTAAATCATGATAAATGAGGAAGAATGAAACACCACTTCTAAAGAATGCAGACAAGCTTAATTAAACTGAAACAACTGGCACGTGCATGGCTACAAGTGATATGGTTGACTGTTAAAAGGTTTGAGCAAAGTCACTTAATGAAAATTCCCAAAGAATCTAACTGGTATCATAGAAAAGGGAAGAAATTCATTCCTGTATTAGCAATCAACTTAAAAACCCAAAACAACAAGAGTTATCATTTTTCTTGTGATGGGGTTTACCAGTAAGGTCAGAAAAGGTTTTAAGCTAGGATTTCTGTTCCTTCATGTACTCATGAGTTGTTTATTGAGAAAATTGTGCAGACCTGCCGAAAGATCATCTGCAGGTCTCATCTTTTTCAGTCTTCAAATGACTTGTGGCAGAAAATTTTCAGTATTAGTAAATTCAAAGCAATGCACAGTGAGTAAATATTATAAGAGCATAGTAACTGTATTGAATTAGGTAAGATATTATGAAGTCCCTATGGACTGGACTACAAACTAGCAGCTAGACTAATAACTTCACTCACTCTTCAAAGGCAGCTTGCGGCTGCATCTCACAGGCTCTACTACATCTCTGGTTACCATGCAGAGGTAGGAGAATTGAGCACAGGCACAGAGAGCAGGTAGACAAAGAGGGAGAAAGATGGTTCCACTGAGCACAGATGTGAGAAAGGGAGATGATGAGAGGAATCAGCTTAACCATTATGAAAACATGTAAAGTCATTAACAGTTCAGAGAAACGTAAAGGGAAAAATTACTCTGTCTTTCTCATGCTAGAACAAACAGACTTCTAATGACACAAATCATTTCACACAAAGTCTGTAGAGCTATCTTTTCCCTAGAAGACAAGGAGTTAAGCAAGTAACACACCCATGGTAATAAGGGCACAAACTCTGCTAGCACAATTAGTGTTTGCTATCCTACCAGGTATCTGTGAAGTGGGGGATAACTATTGGAGCCAAATCACTGGGGATATTTGTGGGTCTGAGAAACTCTGGTGTTCACGGATGATTTGGTACTATCAATCCCTATTATTAATAGGACTGTAACACCAACACGAAATAGGTAACACAGCAATCTATCGTTTACAGATCGATCAGATTTTGCAAGTTACCAGCCGATTCGGATTTCAGACAGTGACCCACTAAACGGGGTGGAGTCATACCAAGTTTTAAGTGGTCCGTTTCCTTACCCTCAGCCAGGCGTTAAAAAATAAACCCGATCTAAGAGAAGCGGTTGTGCAGCCCGTACCTGCCCGAACACCAGGAAACGAACTATCCAAGCTGCCAAACACCCTTTTAGGTTTTCACCCAAAGTGAGTTTCACGCCCCGGAGAGGCCCGCGGGCCTCGGTCCGGGCTGCCCGATTTGGGAACCGAGCGGGAGAGTTGCACCCTCCTCCCGTGGGCGACGACCGATGAGGGGCCCCTCTCCGAGCCCCGCCGCCGTCTCCATTTCCCCCTCGCGGGACCCGACCGGCGGCGCGGAGGCCCCTCGGGACAGGGGACCTCAGAGCCGCCACCATGGCCCTCCCGCGGGCTGGAGAGGGGCAGGCGGCGCCGCACCCAAGCCAGTGCATTCCAGCCTCCGGGGAAGGCCGCTCCTCCCCGCAGACCCCGGTTCTCCCACCACCACCCCGCCTGCTTCCCCCTCCTTTCGCAGCGCCTCGTCGTTGTTTGAACCCGAAACGGAAATGAGACTCGCGGCGCCGGAGAGAAACGGAAACAAAACACGGGCCGTGCCGCCAGGCCGCGCCGCAGCTCACTCACCCGTCGCCGCTGTCCGGTCGCCGAGCGGAGCGGCCGCACCACAGCTCCCGCCGGCCGCGGCTCTCGCAGCTCCCCTGGGTCCCGCCGCCGCCGCCCTGAGGGGGCCGTCACGCGCTCGGGATTGGGCAGCGCGGGCCCAGGCGGGGAGGGCGCGCGCCGACACCGCCACCCCCCGCGCGGGAGAGGGAACTACAGCTCCCGTCGGCCCCCTCGCGGCGCCAATCCGCGTGTGGGCGCGGGGCTGCTGGCGGCTGTTACTCCGAACCGCTTCTCCTCACCCGGAAGCGCATCGCCGGCTTCCGACGGTAACGGTGCGAATGGGGGGTTTCTGTGCTCGCTCTCCGCGTACTCCGGCTTGCCGCGGCGCGGAACCGTCTGGTGGGGTGCACGCCGCCCCCTTCCGTCCGGGTACCCCGTATGCAAGAGCGCGGGGGCCGGTGGTGTGTCGGCGGGCTGGGCTGACGTCCCGGCGTGCATTGCGCGGAGAGGCGGGGCCGTGGTAGCTGTGGTGACTCCTGTCCCAAGGTGACTAGAGCGGGGACGGTGTGGTGCCGCCGAGCGCCGAACCCTTCGCCCCGCGGTGCCGGTGGGTGCTTGGGGGGGTGGCTTCCCGTCAGCCGGCGTTGCCTTGTGCTTGGGGCATTCGGGCCCTGGGCGTAACGGCGATTCGCGGCCCCGTCATCAGCTGGGGGCTCCCGGGGCGGGTGGTCCAGAGATCTCCACGCGGGGAGCAGTGGGGCCGCGGCCGCTGCTGGGTTGGGCTGGGTTGGGTTGAAGTTACTACTTTTCCTTTAAGCGAGGCAAAACCTGACATGCTGTGTTTGTCTCGTTGGCGGTGCGGGCAAAGCGATAGTGATCCGTGCTCCTCGGGTTCAGCGGCTGCTCGAGTTTCCTCCCCAAATTGCTGCCAGCTCTAAGTGTTCGTTATGGTTTTAAAGCTCATTTCTGAACTAAAAATGTTGATTTTTTTTTTTTTTGCACATTGCGGAAAGAGCTAATTCTGTGTTCCTGTTTGGGGTTTCTGGTTTTTAGCTGAAACACTGGTGTCATCATGATTTTGAACCAGATTTTGCGTCTCTCGTCCATTTTTCGCTCCGCTGTCGCCATTCACTTGCGCAGAAACATAGGGCTTTCTGCTGTCGTCTTTAATAAGGCAAAAGAGCTCGATCCAGTTCAGAAGCTCTTCTTGGACAAGATCAGAGAATACAACACAAAGAGCAAGTAAGTAGAGGAAATTGTTTTGAGGCTGATGGCAAAAGGGGGAATAACGTTTCTGACAAATGCTGAAATGTGCTAGGTTTGTGGGTTAGCCTGTAAATGCTCAGGGTGTTCTTTCCTGAAACACTTGATGGTAGTGTCACAAATAAGAAAGCTTGTTCTTGCTTACCTAACAGACAATGTCCATTTTTTCCCCCATTAGGGATAAAAAAAAGGTAAACCTGATGTCAGTCTTCGTGGGGAGTTAGGGCATTCCGTACATGCTATATGAACGTACCAGTGTGTTAATTTTTACCCATGTATGTGCTCTATAAATAGGAAAAAAATAAGAACACCACCCCACCTGGTCGGGGTAAAGCAGCTGTTCTTCAGTCCTGTTTGCAGAAGCGGAATGCAAATAGTCTCCAAAAGCAATTGAGATTTAATGGAACTGTGAGGCTGATTAATTAAACATCTCAAGTTAATAAGCAGTTAATTCAAATGGAATCTTAGATTCTTGTAATGCTTGAATGACCTACTTAATAGGAAATTAAAGCTCTAGCAATTCCGTGTAATTTATTTTTGGGAAGTAAATCAGTCTTTTCTTCGTTCTAGCAATTCTGTGTGATATATTTTTGGGAAGGAAAGCAGTCATTTCTTAGTTCTATTGTTTCTTGGGTCTATTGGTTTCCACACCTACAAAATAGCCTGCTTATGAAGGTGTATTTTGGTGGCTTTACCAATCACAAGTGTGATGGCTTTAGTTGGTTGTCAGAAAGGTTCTGAATTTATAAATGGCCATGAAAATGTAGAGCTTCCACACGAAGCTCCAGGACTGAAGTGTTAATCAGAACTTTCAATGGTTGGTTTGGTTTTTTTTTTTTTTGTTTCTTTTGTAGGCAGTCTGGAGGGCCTGTTGATGCAGGCCCTGAATTTCAGAAGGAAATGAATGAATCCCTTGCTAGACTTCAACGGGCATATGGTGGGGGAGATCTAACCAAGTTTCCAGAATTTAAATTTGAGGGTGAGTTAACAATCTAACTTTATTTCTAATTGCAAGTAAGGGCATGATCACTGACTGGTTTTCTTAAGTAATTCCTATTTAGTTTTTATTTGGTCTGTTAGTGTCATGTAAGACGTCCTTGGTCAATCTTACTTTTGCAGACCTCACATCTGATTCCATCTGTCTCTTTTTTTTGATTACTTGTCTTTTCCAGTAGGGGTGTGGACTTACTTATCCTGATGCTTAACAAAACTTACAGTCAGATCAGGCTATCTTAAATTACCCCTCAAAGACCTGGAAGAAACAACCCATGTCCTATTGTTTTGGGGCTTTTTGGTGTGGCTTTTTGTTTGTTTGTTTCTTCTTCTCATCCTTCCAAAGATATCATCAAACTAATTTCAAAACTAGTTTTCCATGTCATCCGAAGTGCAATTTGTAGATTTTGTAAGCTCATCCATAAAGGCAGTGATTTCAGAAAATGAACCCAGAACTTTACTACTTATGACTAGTCTGTGACTAAATTACATTAAACCTTTTTCTTTGGTTATTTGGGTATGGCTTCTGCTTAACTGCCCTAAGTTTGTGTTAGCATGTTTCCATATTGCCCCAATTCATTATGACAATTGTTTACCAAGAATATAGAGAAACTGCACAGACTCTATCTGCCTCAGGACATAAAGGCAACTACATTTCTGTTTTTCCTTTTTCCTTTACTTGCTTGTGTGGGTACAGTTCAGAGTCTTCATTGTTCACAAATGGTTTTAGCTTACCCCACAAAACCTGGCTTTAGCTGTCTTTCTAGTAAGCTGTAAGTAGCTGGGATTCAGCAATGTTCTGAATGTGCCAGTGTATTTCGTTTATGTGGCAAGGGTTTGATAGTGGGGGTCTGCAGGGTGACCTCTGTCAGTAGGTGTGTGTCCACACATCAGACATAGCCAGTTTCATTTGGCTTCAAAATGGACCTACTGCAATTTGCAGCTGAGCTAGTCAGCGATACTAGTGCCATCTCTGTGACAAGAGTATTTAAGGTGCCTTTATTTGTAAGCCTCCTGGAGAGGGAGGTAGGGGAAGGAGCAAGAGAGCAACAAGGATGGGTATATACCTCGCAGCTAGCCAAGGTCAAGCCACCATAGGCAGACTAACTGGAAACTGATACAGACTAGGAGCACATCTAAAAATATTCTGTGTTTCTGTGGTATTTCAGTTAGATTAAAAAAGGATTTAATGTCAAATTGTTACTGGTGCAAATAAAACAGAGCATCTGTAAGGCAGCATCTATGGCATTTATTTTCCTAAGTTTTAGGGATGCAGTTTCTTTATATTCAGCTTTATTTCTATGTACTATGTGAAACAATACATTAGTATTTCTTTGTAAGTAAACAAAATTTTTGTGACCATAGGAACACCACAAAGGAGGGGGGAGATAGCGCTTCTACCACTGTTGCCTATCCTTAACTGAATTCCAACAAGTTTTCAAAATTAAGTGCCTAATGGGTAGAAACATAATTTTTTTTTGTCTTAGTGAAGATTACTCTAAGATGAGCCTTACCTCTCAGACTCCTTGTAGCAAGGCGAACAGGTGTTAATAGCCCACATGTCAAAAGCCCTAACCCTTCTGAGTTTACCTTTGATATCAAAACCTCCTTCATCAGTGTTTGTATGTGGAGAGTATCTTTTGCTGAGTGGAACTGCAATTGTGTGCTCCATTCTGTTAATCAGCTATAAGACACTAACCAAGGAAAAAGAGCAGCTTGGTTACTTGTTCTTACACCAGAGCTATACTGCAAATATTAGTGTCAAGTGCAATAGGTTCTGGTTGATCGCTTCGTCTTCTCTGTGCCTTCTCCCCTTCCCCAGGTGATGCTAAAGCTGTTTAGGCAGAAATGTCAGTAAGGTGCATGTCTGTCTTAAACTTTATGCATAAACTCCTTTAAGATGGAAAAGATCTGTCACCAGCATAGTTTATTCTTTAGTGCTGCCCACATCCAGTGATTCGCTGGTACAAATTAAGTGGTGGTGTACAAGACTGCGGTGTACAAGAGCTTGCTTTAGCTTGCCATCTTAATGTTTAGCTTTCTTTAAATAGCAAATGACTTGTGCTATTCAAGGCTGGACTGAAAAGAGGCTAATATGACTTCTCTCTCCCTTTCCTCCTCTAGAGCCCAACTTCGAGGATACTCCAAAGTGATCTCTGCAGGTTGCACGCCAAACAGCAGCATACATCGGTGGAGTTGCTGAACATGGCAATAGTTGTAACTTAATAAATGCAGTGTTGCAGTTCGATTTCAGAAGTGTGAATCATTTCTTAACTGTACTGTAAGCGCAGTTAGCTGTGATCTTCAGGTGACTGAGGCAGCTGAGTAGTATTTCTTAGTATTAACTGCAAAACTGTGTTGTAGTGCCGAGAAGTTCTAACATTGTTAATGACACATCGAGAAGGAGCTACTTGTTTTTATGAGTTGATCACATACAGAAAGCTTCTGCAGAAAAAAATCCCATGAACCCTAAATGGGATGGACCTACAGAGCCAAAACTTTAGGCACAAGGTCTACTAATTTTACAGGTGAAGTGTTCTTACAGAAGCAGCTGACACCTGTTAATGAGGTTGTGAGATTTAAATTTTAATAATTTAACTATTGACACAAACACTTTAGGCTCAGAGCAACTATTTATTTGTGACACTTCAGCAACTAGGATCCAGATACTACAGCCTGAGTTATACTGGCATGAATTTTCTTCAGAATGAAATTACATATGCAGTCTACAGTGAAAGTGAGAGACTGCTTTGTGGAAGAAAAGCTGTAGGCATTTTGTATTAGACAATGAACCACTGGTTCAGACTAAATTACAGGATGCTTTGTTCTGTCAGGATAGTGAGTTTAAAGTCTGCACAACTATTTCTAGTCTTACAGATGACTTTGGCAAACCTAATACAATGTCAAGGTATTAAGATACCAGAATTGCAGGAGAGTTTGAGCCCTTGACAATGATGGAGACATAGGTAGGAGAAGTAGCAGTAGCAAGATCAGCAGTGAAAGTTACTTGAGTGCACTGTTGCAGGCTGGAAGAGGGAATCCAGTATCGCTGCATGTATACATGAACAAAATGAGAATCATAGAATGGTTTGTCAGGGAAGAGACCTTATTGATCACCTGTTTCTACCCCTCTGCCACTAGACCAGGTTGCTCAAGAAGTCTTCACACATGTTGACTTGTATATTAAATTTAATTCTATCTTTAAGTTAAGGGGGTTTGGTGGTCTTGGGAGTGGGAGGCTTGTGCAGTTTGGGGTTTCTTTTTGCTCCTGAGAAGCAATCACAAGTATGTTGACTGGATCTGAACATTGGCAGTTTCTATTTTCAGCATGTAGTACATGGAAACTATTTACAGAGTAGAGGTCAAAAGATCCCTTTGATACTTTTGTATAACAAGTAGTCATTTGTTGTCCCTCACAGAGGCAGAAATCTTCTAAATAACAAAGGACTTGGTATGCTTGAAATCCTAAATGAAGCAAAAAAGTTAACATAAGTAATAGTTCAAGGATTTTAACCAAATTAATACTGAGTGTACATTTCAGATGAAACTAGGACACCAAGTTTGAAAAACAGCATGCCTGAAGCACTGTTAGTTAAAGTGTAAGGGAAGTCTACACAATACACTACTACACAGAGGTAACTTACTAAGAACTACAAGTATCAAACAGCTCTGTAGAGCATCTGATTCCTAAGCGCTGCATTAATACTGGTAAACAGATACCACAGCTCTTCAAAGTTTACTCCTCTCACTCAAAGCAGCCAGGCAGCTGGCCTCAGGAAGTTTCATATGTATTAGGTGAAGGAATAAGCTTATGCTGTTTTGTATGTTCTGTTTTGATTAAAGAAATGGGTGTTGTTCAATGACCTTTTAAGGCTATTAATGTAACCTTAAATTACAGATAATAAAATTAAGTTGCTCCAGTTGAAGTTTTTTATTTGGAGCTTCATTCTTGCATCAATCTGAAAAGCTGGAGCAATTAATGTGCAGTTTCTCTCACTGAGAAAGGGGTGGGGGGAAGTAGTAAGTTTAGCTTCCGTATTCAGTCAAGCCTTAAAGCAACTAAGGCCAAACCTTTCCTTCAGTGCCGATTTGGACTCAAAGTTAATTGCCTTGGTTGACTGAATGGACAAAAGCAAGGCAGAGTGGACGTTTTCACAAGAAATAGCATTAAGTGGGCAGCTTAGAGGTGATACTGCCAAATAGTGTAAGGGTGTTTGTTACTGTTTAGTTTATCTGATAGCTGGAAAATAATCCAGAACATTTGAAAGAGAATAAAAGAAGCAAATAGAACAGAGAGAGAAAAAAAAATTGGAAGCTATAAATGCAAACAGAGGGTGTCTTCATGTACTGGTGGTGTGTACAGTTTGTCAAGGGCAGCCTCATATGTGCAAACCCATCAGAGATGAGTAAATTTTGAAGACCTCTAAAGTTCAAACACTAAACACAAAATACTTGCCTTTTCACTTGTAGATTGATAGTTGGTCTTCTTCCTGTTAATAGAGCAGGAAAGGAACACAGGTTAAATAGTGACTTTTCTGGTGTTAGTTTTAACCCTTTGAGAATCTTATTTATGAACAAATCTATTGAATGCTTTTAGGTAGCTGCCATGTTCATGAATCACTGTCAAGTTACCTTCTCTAGCTTGTCTTTTAAGGTCTTCCAGAAATGTTTTTTGTCTAGTTCATGGCCAGTATAAATAACAGTATTTTGAAGTAATGGGTTTAAACTTAATCAGGGGGGAAGTTCAGATTAGTTTGAAGAGGAGACATACCTGTAGCTGAGTTAGGGGTTTAAACTGTAACTGTAAGAAGACACATCTGTGCACATGGATCACAGTAGTAATGCTTTATTTATTTTATGACCAACACACTGGTTCTAATACGGGAACCAGCTGGTGTGTAGGATCAGAGGTTTATTTCAGTGTTCAAAAAGGCCACTGCACAAGAGTCATGCAAGAAAGGCCTTAAACAATCATCCTGGATTACTAATTCAAAAATGTGAAGTTTGCAGTGATTTGTGTGCTACCTTGCATCAGGATACTTACTGGGAAGAGCTTTCCTCTGAAAAAGAAAAAAAGAAAAACAATTAGCACAAGAGCAGTTTCCCTGGCTGATTTACAGTCCTCTGAAATAGTTATTCTGAGCTTATTCAGCTCTTCAGCTTCTAGGAGTTCATGAACCAATTGTCTCTTCCGGTGTGAATTTAAACAGAAAAAGATTAGCTTGCTTTCAAAGGTAAATGAACCTCCAGGTGAATATGGACTCTAACAGCAGCTCCGTTAGCTTGTTGCTTGCAGGCAGCGGACCTTCTCAGACCCTGACATTTGGCATCCCCTCTGCACGAAGGTAAACCCTAAGGAGAGGGTAACTTGGTGTCGAGCTTTTAGCAGTAAGCTCTAAAAGCTAACTCTTCACGTGCACTTTCACCACAACCCATAAGAGGGAGCCAGTTAACTTAGTTTCCGCTTCGTCGGAACTCAGCCACTCACAGTTTATAAAGTGTGAAAGTGAACTTTGTACGGGTTTCCCTCCCAAATCTAGAGCAGAGAGGCTCCAGGACCTAGGGTTCGGCTCCTTGTTCTCCCTAGATTGCCGTGTGGTACCTTATGCAACTGCACAAACGTCTCCGTGTCGTTCTTTAAGTATCTTTTACAATAGAAGTTGGCAGAAGAAAAAATGTCAGCATCAAACGAGTTACTGTCGTAATGATTTTTAGTACCATGGAGTTAGAGCCTTCATGAATAGGAGAATGCATTACTGTCCGCAGAAGTGCAGATTCTTTATTTTTTTTCTTTTTTCCTTTTGACATAAGAGTGATTTTATTTTACTTACTTGTAAAGTAGCCCTTTTTCTGGGCATAAAATACTCCAAGGCCACACGATGCCATTACCAGAGCCACAAATACTACTGCAGTGATGATACCACTTACATTGAGGTCATCTGGAATTACAAGACAGAAGTCCAATGTTATAAGTTGTGAAAGTTTCCACTGGCTGTATTTGTTTTCCCCCTAATTACTACAGGCAGCATTTGTAGCTACTGGAGGTCTTTGGCCCAAGCTGTGTAAGTCAACTGGTAACACTTGAATGTAGATAAGCAGTCCAAAAGCACTACAGTATCACAGCCACATTGACAGGAGTGCTAGACATGCTTCAAGTGCTTAGTTCTGGTCAAAATTAGGGAATGACTAATTTTGTAGGGATACATACTCCTTATTAAACCCATCCCAAATACGCATTCAAGTAGTATTTCTCTAGGGGAAAATAACTCACAATCTTTAAAAGTCTTAAAACAAGCATTTTCCTATTGTTAGCTTGCCTGAAATAACTGAAACAGCTGATGGCAATTCCCAGTCCTGAAGAACTCTTCAGGCCAGTCATTTAAAATTTGGTGCTTTTTTATTTTTAGACAGCAAGGCTTCTAAAATTCAGTACAATAAAGACCAACAAATACTTTAGTCCAGATGTAACTATCCTATGATCCTATGTCCAAAGCTGAATTCAACACTGGCCTACCAGAGCACCTAGCCATTTTTATTTTGAAGGGGATGACTCGTGCCCATTTCCTGATATAATCTCCAAGAGGTTCAGACAATCATCTGTTTTAGGAGAAAGAAGCATAAACTGGCAGAAATACTTTCACAGGTTTTTGTTATATGTCCAATTACCAATTCAGATTGTGGCTTTAAGCATTCATTAATATTTGGTTGGGAATTTTATCTCTGAAGTTATCATTATTTGTGCTTTGGTTGACAGCAATTTAGGACTTATTTCCACAGCAGAGGGATTTTATCTAGGTAGCTTGTGAGACACTTGACTAGGATAATTGACCAGAAATGTATTAAAAGCCATGATACAGTGACTTTCAGCTAAGTTCTAAGAAAGCACTGGATAAATGCTCTATGGAATACTTGGACATGAAATTCTGTGCAGTATTTGTTAGGATTTGTTACTATCTGCTTTCCTATCCCATCTGCAAGACTAGTTTTATATTTTGCCAAAACACTCTCACATTTTGGGTTATTATAGACCATCAACTTTGCTTCTGCAGCCCTTGCTAAATTCTTCATTACTTAACCAGTGTCTTACTTCACCTGCTACGCTGTGCACATAGAAAAGAAATAGGCAACATGTTTTCTTTTGGTTTATCTTTGTTTGTTTGTTTTTTAAGCTACACTGACTTCTTCAGTGTTCCTCTGGCAGGTATAAATGAGTCATTCAGTTTAAATGTTAGATACTTTAAGATGTCA